CTTAAAGGAGCTTTTTAATCATTGTGGATTGTTTTTTCTGTTTATGAATTTGAAGATTGTAGTTTGAACTCATTGATATGTGTTCTGATCGTATAATTTTTTCTACATTTTTTTTTTGGTTTTCTAAAATGCATTTGCCTGCGGGTGCCAACACTCCCCTTCAATTTTTGTTTTAGGAATTTGACTAGTTGAATTTTTTGAACAAACTTGATTTTTGATTACCTGCAGGTGCCCTCTGTATTATCATTCTTTAATGAGCTTATCATCGTCAGTTGTTTTTTTGTTTAAGATTCTGGTCGTTTTAGTTTGAACTCTTCAATATGCCTTAATATCGTATAATTTTTTCTACATTTTTTTTTGGTTTTCTAAAATGCTTTTGCCTGCGGGCGCCAACACTCCCCTTCAATTTTTGTTTTAGGCATTTGACTCTAGTTGAATTTTGATAACCTGCAGGTGCCCTCTGTATTGAAATTCTTAAAGGAGCTTTTTAATCATTGTGAATTGTTTTTTCTGTTTATGAATTTGAAGATTGTAGTTTGAACTCATTGATATGTGTTCTGATTGTATAATTTTTTATAATTTTTTTTTTGGTTTTCTTAAATGCAATTGCCTGTGGGCGCCAACACTCCCCTTCAATTTTTGTTTTAGGAATTTGACTAGTTGAATTTTTTGAACAAACTTGATTTTTGATTACCTGCAGGTGCCCTCTGTATTATCATTCTTTAATGAGCTTATCATCGTCAGTTGTTTTTTTGTTTAAGATTCTGGTCGTTTTAGTTTGAACTCTTCAATATGCCTTAATATCGTATAATTTTTTCTACATTTTTTTTTGGTTTTCTAAAATGCTTTTGCCTGCGGGCGCCAACACTCCCCTTCAATTTTTGTTTTAGGCATTTGACTCTAGTTGAATTTTGATAACCTGCAGGTGCCCTCTGTATTGAAATTCTTAAAGGAGCTTTTTAATCATTGTGAATTGTTTTTTCTGTTTATGAATTTGAAGATTGTAGTTTGAACTCATTGATATGTGTTCTGATTGTATAATTTTTTATAATTTTTTTTTTGGTTTTCTTAAATGCAATTGCCTGTGGGCGCCAACACTCCCCTTCAATTTTTGTTTTAGGAATTTGACTAGTTGAATTTTTTGAACAAACTTGATTTTTGATTACCTGCAGGTGCCCTCTGTATTATCATTCTTTAATGAGCTTATCATCGTCAGTTGTTTTTTTGTTTAAGATTCTGGTCGTTTTAGTTTGAACTCTTCAATATGCCTTAATATCGTATAATTTTTTCTACATTTTTTTTTGGTTTTCTAAAATGCTTTTGCCTGCGGGCGCCAACACTCCCCTTCAATTTTTGTTTTAGGCATTTGACTCTAGTTGAATTTTGATAACCTGCAGGTGCCCTCTGTATTGAAATTCTTAAAGGAGCTTTTTAATCATTGTGAATTGTTTTTTCTGTTTATGAATTTGAAGATTGTAGTTTGAACTCATTGATATGTGTTCTGATTGTATAATTTTTTATAATTTTTTTTTTGGTTTTCTTAAATGCAATTGCCTGTGGGCGCCAACACTCCCCTTCAATTTTTGTTTTAGGAATTTGACTCCAGTTGAATTTTTTGGACAGACATGTTTATTCATTACCTGCGGTGCCCTTTGTATTATCATTCTTTAATGAGCTTATCATCGTCAGTTGTTTTTCTGTTTAAGATTCTAGTCGTTTTAGTTTGAACTCTTCAATATGCCTTAATATCGTATAATTTTTTCTACATTTATTTTGGTTTTCTAAAATGCATTTGCCTGCGGGCGCCAACACTCCCCTTCAATTTTTTTTTTTAGAATTTGACTAGTTGAATTTTGATAACCTGCAGGTGCCCTCTGTATTGAAATTCTTAAAGGAGCTTTTTAATCATTGTGGATTGTTTTTTCTGTTTATGAATTTGAAGATTGTAGTTTGAACTCATTGATATGTGTTCTGATCGTATAATTTTTTCTACATTTTTTTTTTGGTTTTCTAAAATGCATTTGCCTGCGGGTGCCAACACTCCCCTTCAATTTTTGTTTTAGGAATTTGACTAGTTGAATTTTTTGAACAAACTTGATTTTTGATTACCTGCAGGTGCCCTCTGTATTATCATTCTTTAATGAGCTTATCAACGTCTGTTGTTTTCCCCTCTTTAAGATTCTGGACATAGTGTTTGAACCCTTCAATATGTGTTCCTATTGTACAATTTTTTCTAAATTTTTTTTTTTTTGTTATCTAAAATGTGTTTACCTGATTTAGGCTCAGCACACTCAGCACGGATAAGCATTACTGTTCTTTATTTTTGCCATTTTGATCATTTTTCCTGTAAATCATAAATTATAATATCATAATAATAATATAGTTGTAATATATTTGAAAATAAATTAAATATAAAATTATGTTAACACGGCGCATTGTATAGGCAATTTAGCTACAACAGAGTTCATTGTTGTTTGTCAGGGTGTCGCATACTTGCAATGACTTAACAACTAAGATTTTTAGATTTAAATGAAAATCTCTGTACAGGCTTAACTCTGGAACTACTTATTAGATCTTCTTGATTTTTTTTTAAAACGAAAGAGTATTTCATGGAGAAGATTTATATGAATGAACGTTTTAGGAAAATCTACCTTTGTATTATATTATATTGGTTGCTATCGGTTAATCGGTCATGATTGGTGATTTGTATCTATTATTATTTTTTATACATATATATATAATATATACAATAATATCTGATAAGTAGTTTCAGATTTTAGTCTGTATAGTTATAGTCTGTGTATTTATATAGTTAGATATATAAATAAATGTTTGCGGGTAGTTATAGCTAAAACCGCGGAATTAATGCATAAGGAGATCCCACGGAGTCGTGTCGTCGGTTTAAAATGGAAAAAAGTCTTTATTTTGTTTACAGGCATCTATAGTTGCCAGTATAAAATGTAGACCGTGTTATTTTATACAGCAAATAATATATAGTAAACACCTCTTTCGAATTGACAAATTTATAGGTCTTGCTCTGCAGACAGTGAGGTGGGGTAGATTTCGACTTATCCACTACAAATGAGCGACCAATTATCGCAGTGAGGCTAAGTTGGCGAGAGCTAAGAAGTTGTTGTTAGCTGTAAAATCATTACATAGTCATTAAAGATCGATAAAATAATATTTCTTTGTCAGTCCATTCCACTTATTCTAACATAACCATGGCTTACATGTGACTTCATACTTACTATTAAATTTTTCTAAAAATGTTGTCGTGCACAATTTACTAGTATATTTAATTTCAAAAGTAAAATTTAGTTCTAAAACCTAAATACTAACAATTTCAGATTTGGCTGGCGCGTCTATGAATTTTAACATTATTTTCTTGTTCCCGATCAAAGTGAATTACCACGAAGAACGGCAAATTGAAACACTCTTTTTACTTCCAGTGATAGTCATCTACGCCCAAAAAGAAACCGGTTTTAACCATTAAATTAAATCGTCGGACAACACTCCATCGCGATAGTACAAGTTACAACGAATTAAGAACGATATTGCAAAAATTAATTGCCGGAAATCATTAGTTTTTAATTGAAGTCTGAATTTGGTGGTCAGACTTATTTGAAAGTTATAATAGGTATTTTAAATTTTGGGTATTTTCATATATACCCGACGTACCTGGCTGCGATCGCTCCAGTGGCGCCGAACTATTTTTTTTTGTAGGCGGGCAATGGAATTCAAAATGTACCTACCCACCACCCCCCTTCAACACCCCTTCAACCCAATCCAAATGAAATATTACTAACTCAATTTACCTATTATACAAATTAATGAAATTAAGTTATGTTTGAATTGGGAACAAAACTAACTAACTAAATATAAATTATATTTTGTTATTAATAACATTAATTTATGTGATTAATAAATTTATTTTGTGTTATCAGTATTCAATATTATCACAATAAATGATAATGTACAGCAGCTGTTTTTTTGGTTAATAACTTGTTACCATAAAAATAATATTATATTTTCCCATATATTTAACAAATCCCGTAAAAAAACCGTCCTGAAAAGTACGGATCCTTCCCAATATTAATCCCAAAAAATACCATTTTGTAATAATATTTTCTAGGAATTTAACTAATCCCATAAAAAAACTGTCCTGAAAAGTACAGATCCTTCCCAATATTAATCCCAAAAAATACCATTCTGTAATAATATTTTCTAGACATAACACTTATCCCATTAGAAACTGTCCTGAGAAAATCTGTCCTGGAAAGTACGGATCCTTCCCAATATTAATCCAAAAAAATGTAGTCTCAATATATATAATTCATTTAAAGGATACTTCCCACGACTTATCATTCATTCATCAAAGTTATTCCTTAATAAATTCTGTCCAAAATAGTACGGGTCCCGGTAATTATCATCCTGATTTTTACGCGGGCCGAAAATAATGATTCTACTTGGATATTGTTTCTGAACGCGCCCCTGGGATATCTACTGTTCTATGCTTTAATCGTGGTGACAACAGTGATAAAATGATAATGTCCATTCTTATCATTTTAACGCCGAAAAACAAGTAAACCGCGATTTGATTTTGTGTATGAAGACAGTGCATTACATGTTTAATGTTATTATTCTTTTCCCGGTTTCAGGTTTTTATAAATAGTTATTTCCTAATTGTAAATTGTTATGCTTTTGTTAAATTAATTTTCCGTTATCTTAATTACAAGTTTTTGTACTTTTCTTCTCAGTCGGTTTTTGACCACTTGTAAGTGAAATACTGAAATATCTATATAACAGTTTTATATTGTCTACTCAATTGATTTGTATTTGTATAAGCGTTATATTTTAATATTTGTGTAAAATACTATAAGTACCTAGTTTACATTTTTTTATTTGTATGTTTGTACAATTTTTACTTAATAACTTAAAGCTGTTTTATTTACAGCTTCAAGACTGATTATAATTTGTTATAGGTACTTCTAAGTATTACAATGAGTTCAGGACTGGAAAGCTATGTTAACCGTATCCTTTGAATATAATTGATGTAACATATTTTTGTTTTAAAAATAATTTTGTAACTGCATACGTCTATTAGTATAAATGTTGTAGCTTTACAGAACAAGCAAAATAATATTGTTTGTACTTGATCAAAATGAACTGTATAATTTTATAAATACTGAGTTAGTAGCCTGGTATTGAATTAAGTGATTTAAGTACTATTATTTTCCTTATTGTTATATTGTTCAGATACTGTTTCTATTATAACGTCAGATGGCAGAAACTTTGTGGTAATTATACTATTGCTTAATAAATATTATACAATTTGATAAAAAAAACGTATTAACATTTTTATTTTTTTTTATTCAGGGAACTCTTAAAGGCTTTGATCAAACTATAAATATAATTTTAGATGATAGCCATGAACGAGTATATAGCCCAAATCAAGGTGTTGAACAAATTATATTGGGTTTACATCTCATTCGTGGTGACAATGTGTAAGTATTATTTCAAACATAGAATGAGTATAATGTTTATTTTTATTTATTCAATTGATTGTAGCTTATTGAAATATTTTAGATTGTTGATTAAATAATTCTCATAATTTTGGAGACATTGTCTTAATTATATTTAAAAGTAATTTGATTATGAATGAGTAACACATGTGTTATTTCTACGATAAAATATAATATGTATGATAAACATTTTATGATATACACTTATTGCTAGTTGTACCATCTATAATTAAAGTTAACCGGAGTTAAATCGGCCGATTTTGCCTGGTTAAATGTCTGGTATCAGCTGATTAAGCTTAATCGTAGTTTAACCGTTAACGGTATAACTGGCCCTTAACAATGGCCAGTAATTAAGATATAATTAAGGTATATCTTAATTTGTGACAATGGCTGATATTCTTATTTATTTTAACAACAATTTACCAGTTGAAATATACATAGTATTAGAAAACTTTATTTATTAGTTTTGTCAACAAGAATAGTTGAAATATAAATAAATGAAAGAAATACATGCAATTTATGTTATTTATATAATTTTGTACTAAAATATAAAATATATTCTTTTATCAACAAGAAATTCATTGAATTATTGTATTTATCACTTAACTATGTTATGTTTATGACCTTTATTTGTTTTTATTAGTATTTTATATCTTTTGTTTAAAATATTAGACATATGACAGTATTTTCAAAACTACATAATATCAAATCACATTTCATTAAACACATACATCTATGTAGAAGTAGAACATAAAATGTTTCAATTCTTTTCATGTGTCTTATTATTTAATATTTACTAATATTAGTAATATATAAAAGTTTTTAATAAGTGTATAGAAAATTTTTTTATCTACTTTAATCATTTTAACTATATTTGATATTCCAGTTGTTTGTATTTTTCTATTGTTTTTTTATTTTTTTTTTTTTTTTTGGGGGGGGGGGGGTTAAAATTAATTGTTGACAAATTTTATCTGAAAATAATTTATTAATGGAAAGGTTGTTATTATTTAACAATTTTCGAGGAGGTAACTACCTCCTAACCACCAAACCCCCCCCCCCCGATATATCACTGTTCATTGTAATTATATTGATTTGGTCCTTTATCCACACTTTTTTTTTTAATAATATACTTTTTATGGTTGAAAATGTGTGTATTATTTTAATAAATTTCTGAAAACTTTTCAGAGCTATAATTGGTGAAGTAGATGAAACAATGGATTCCTCAATTGATTTGAGCGCAATCAGAGCAGAACCTATTGGATCAGTAGTATTTTAAGACATTTTATAATATTATAAATATTAAATGCATTGATTTTATTATATTAAGTAATTGTTACTATTAAAGCTATGATAGTAATATAAATATAAGGGCAAATATTGTGTTTTTTATTGATTAAAACAATGTTTATATCAAATAATAATCTTCATTAATCACATGTTCAATGTATAAATTATAATCAAAAATAATGAAGAATTAAAATGGTAGTGTTTTAAAAACCACATTATTACTTTTAAGTTATTATGTATTGACCAAGAGGTAAAATAGGTGTGTGTCCATACTATCCAGACCTATAAACTAATGAACAGTGAATTCTACTCCACCCTGCCCTCAATACAAGGGAATCATATAAGAGAAAGAAAGAAGAGAGAAAGGGGGTAATCCTAGACGTATGAAACTAATACTGTATTTCCCCCAGGTTCTCTTTTGTTTTTTAGTCTATATTGTACCCCTGACCTCTCTCTCTAACTGTCCATTATAATATGTATCACTATGATATTCTGTATTATACATCCATATTCGTCACATTATCACATTATCAAAAATAAATGTAATACATTATCAAAAATTTCAACACACATTAATAAACTGTTAACAAAAATTATTTATTTTAATATTTTAAGAAAATTATATAAAATGAGAGCATTCCATTGTTCCTTGTATTTATAATGAGACATTGAGACATTGGTTGTATGAATTAATATTTTATACAACCAAATATTTCCGATTTGTACTATAGTATTGATAGTATATTATACTAATATGGTTAAATTATTATAACATTTATGTCATTCAAATAATGTATGTATATATTGTATTTTAATACCGCAAGTGCAGAAATCGTAAATACAAAAAAAAAAAAAATACATACATTTAAATCATATGCCTTTCTTTATAAATTAAACTAATAAAAACAATTCTTCTCCAAAAATTGTCGCATTTTATCTTTCTACAATTAAGTACTATATCTTTTGATTTGTATCTGTATTAAAATATGATTATTGTTAATTGTTATATCTTATGCAGATAATATAATATATTTTAGATAAAAGTTCAAAAACAAATGTATTTAAAATTTAAACAACTTCTGCCTGTCACTTGTTGATTTTCATTTAAATAAAATAATTTAAACATGTCAATACATTCTATAAAATGTCTATTTTAATCTAAAACATGCTGTTCAATAATTTCAAATTTGTATTTCAATCGGATCTCGGTACTTTATTTTGTCGTTATTAGTTATCACTTGTTACCTTCATTTAAACAGTACACACAGTACGGGCTCAAGCCTTAGCACCTACAGTTGAAGACTTGAAGTACGAACAGAAAAAAAACCATTTTGATATCACTAAAATTTCGAAAAAGTGAAATGTAGAATGTGTATTATTTTTTTTATAGGTTCTACATAATATATTTAAAACTGATTCAAATGTTCATAAAATATACTGTAAGTTATAACTGAGTTATTGAGTATACTAGTATAGTATGTAGACAATTAGTTTGATGAAACATAAATATGACATTTTTGTTTTGAGTTGCGGGCTTGCGGCACTCTTAAATTATGTCGTTTGTTGTCAAATGAAGACGTTTTTAATTATTTTTCGGTGTTATGGCCTATGGGCAACGTTATGTGGTATTGTGGTGCAACTACTCAAGTGATCGGGAATGTGACATTCGATAGATTTTCGGGTAATGTATAAATAAGTATAATACCTGGAAAGGTTATTGTAAATGTAATACATGGAAGTATGGAAAGCAGCCCATAGGTATTTTAATTCCTAGTTCTGAATTTAGTATTTACTATTTACGAATAAACGTTACCGGTTTCAAATTTTTGCAAGTAGAGTAAAAATTATAACATCACGAATTCATGAATTGACGCCGACAAAATACAAAAATGACCTACTTTGAGCACCCCTACTCGTAATATCAGTTTCGACGATTCGTCATTCCTATAATCAGCATTCAGCATGCATGCATTTGATATTTGATATTAATATCTCAATATCTTATATTGATAAAGTTAAATCTATTTGCTAGTTAGTACTCAGTACTCGATTTAAGTATTATAACATTTGGTCGATACGTACTTCCTGTGTTTATTTATTATTCGAAAAGTGTTCACTGAAAGAATTAATAATAAGTTATAAATATACAATAATGTTAAACCAAAAGAGTTTCATAAAACTTTGAAATTGTATTTCTAACAACGATAAAAAGAAAATTAATATGCCATCTTTCAGGCAGAAATTCTCTGGGTTCTTTAGGCAATTTTCAGCGCCATCAGAGTCCAGGAATGACGAGAACGCTTCGAATCGTTTCATTAAAAAATATCTTACTGGGTGAGTGATTTGAATTTTTTTTTATTTAAAGCAAGTCAATTTGCAATCTTTATAATAATAGTTAATACGTATGACAATGAATACATTTCATAAATTATAATATCGTCAATGAAATAGATTTGAATTACTAAATTGGTCTAATATTTGCTGGACCTTGGATTTCAATTCCAAACAAGTCTTACGATTGTCTTGTCTATTAGAAGTATGTTAAGAAGTAATTTATGTAGATACCTATTTTGGAATTTAGAAGAGGACAGAGCTCTATAATGATTGATTTTATTTTTCTCTTAAAATAAGGAGGCCGTAGATTGTAGTTTTTCTAATAACATAGGTACCTAAATATTTAACTTGATGTCGGATAGGGATAGAAATGTTCATAATTAGTTCATATAGTCATAATTAGTTAATGACATTCTTGAGGAGATATTTTTAAAGTGAAAGTGACTTGCCCAGCTTTGCCGGTATTAATTTGAATTGGCCATTGATATGGATAAGTGTTTTGGTTTACTTAATATAGGTATTAGCACACATTATATAAACATTTTATATAATCTGTGGTATTATTAAATATTATTAGAGTAACAAATTTTAGGAAAGTGTGATTATTCTGAACGGATTTATTTCAAACGGTATTATTGATTTAAATTTCACATTTTCTTAAACATTCCTTTAAATGATTTCAGCCATGAAGTCCAAAAATACGAACCAATTATTTTGCACGGGAGAACTCCGCAGGAAGTGCCACCCCAACAATTAGGTGGCATTAAAAGTTACGAAGTGGTATCATCGTTGACTGGACCACACGGTGGCCTTATTTCTGTTAATCAAACAGAAAAACATTTGTCGGCAAGTGACCCAGAAATTAATTTTATTGATAATCTTGAAGACGATAGCCGTAAGTTTTTTGAACAATTTATATTATTAGTATATTTATTCTAAATCACCAAATTCAATAATAATATTTTATCATTAGATAATGGGGAAAAGAAAGTCAATGTGTCTACTAATGATTCAACTGATGAAACTTCGAATGTAGAGTCTAAACAAAATATTTTAAAAAAGCTTAGTGAGTTCCTACAAGATATGCATTTAAAATCGATTATTATTTATTAACCGTATCTATAATTTCTAGGACATCCATTGGTAGCTGGTGTTGAGAATTGGAATGTTCCACACACTAATGCATATGGTGCCAGTTGTTCTTTATATGAAGTGCATCCCATAACACATCGTCATACGGGAGATCCAATTGCTGATTGTTTTGCTATTGTAACCAGAGCGAATTCTGCAATAATGGTGTTGGCAGATGGTGTTAACTGGGGTGTCAAGTCAAGGACAGCAGCTAGATCTGCTGTCCATGGTTGTGTTGACTATTTAAACAAAACTATATTTACAGCGGAAAAAGAATCGCCTAAAAATACTACAGTAAATATAATTTATGCAGTTTTTAAAATCAAAAAATATAAAAATCTGACCCTATAAATATTATTTATTTTACAATTAAATTTTTGTTCTATTTTATTCATTTCTATAGAAATTATATTTTAAATACAAAGAGAAAGTGAACATTTTTTGATGAAATGATATGAAAGAAAAATATATATTAAATACATGAACGTTTTGCCATTAAATACAGTAAACGCTAACATCTTCTCAATTTTTTTATAAAATCCATTCAAATATTTTTTTAAATTTTAAAATTTACTTACTTTTTAATGAAATATATTTCTTTACTTTAAAACTAATAATTTAATGCAGCAAAATAATACAGACTAAGAAAGTATAATTTTATGTTAATTGGGCTTTCCGAACAAAATTTTCTGTTAAAAGTTAGCTATTTTGTTATCGTATAAAGACACTTTTTTTTTATAATTGCAGGATGTTCTTGTAACTTTACTGAGATCTTTCCACGCTGCCCATAATATGATACTACAAGAAGAAGGAACTTTGACTACGCTTACAGCAATTGTAGTACTTCCTTCTACTGTTGATAATCATTACGTAGCTTGTTGTTGTAATGTTGGTGACAGTTTGGGTTATGTGTATAGTTCCAAGTATGGTGTAAGGGAACTTACTCAAGGCTCCCATGATGTTCACAGAATGAGAGACATGAGAGATGTCATGGGAGCTTTAGGTCCTGTTGATGGACATAATCCAGAATTGTCAAACTTGACTTTGTCCATAACACAAGTTGATTTGGATGATATAGTTTTTATTACTTCTGATGGTGTATCAGATAATTTAGATCCTGTGGTTGGCCATTTCACTGGTATTTATTAATTGTATTATATCTTTTAATGATTTTATTTCTAATATAGTACTTTTAAATGTAAAAAATATTTATTTAGGACTTCCCAGCGTCGAAGCATATCAAAGACATAAGCTTTCTCTTTTAAGAACAGAAGATTTGATTCGTAATGGAGTGTCTGGCAAGGGACCTGCAGTAGATACAGCCAAAGACTTAGTGACATTGTTGTTGGACTTTGTAACCAGGTTAACTGCAGCTAAACGTCGTATATTAGAAGATATGGAAATATATGCAGACGCTAATGGAAAACCCTTAGCTCAAGGAGAAGTCAGACAAAAAAGAAAGGAAATTATTAGAAAAATGTTTGGTGTGCCAGGTAAGTTAGATCATGCTACAGTTGTTGCATTCAAAATAAATTCCGGTAAATAGAAGATTTTAAAGACATTAAATCTATTTTTTTTTTGTTTTTTTTTATATGTTGATTTATTGTTTGATTTAATGATTTGTTATTTTTTTATTGAGAAAATTTGTTTTAGAAATTATTAAGTACCTGGGCAGTTATTATGAAAGATTATTAAACATACTTTCTAGTGACTGTACACAGACAAGATTACATGATATAGAAAAATTATCTTATTAAAATAAACCTCTGAAATATTTATCTTTTTTATACTTAAATTACATCTTTATTTAAGCTTAGTGATTTACCAAATATCTATTAGTGCAATATTGTTTCCGTCCAATGGATTGTTTGAAATAAACAACAAACTATAATTTAGTCAGCTTATATGTCATATTATTAATCCTATACTTTATATTCAAAACTTTTATGTGTTATAATATCATATTTTATTGTTTAATTAATTTATATTTATATTTATTGACTGTTCATTTTATCGTTTATAAGTTATGTCTAACATCATATTAAGACTACTGATATTTTGCATTATCAGTAATACTTATAAGACAAATATACTTTATTCCAAAGTAAATTAGGCCTAAAACTAAAGTTTAATAAAAATGTATTAATATCAAATAACAAATATTCTTATACTATTTTTTTTTACATCTAGTTATAAGCATACTTTTTTATTAAATTTATAAAAAAAAAAATGACCATATTTATCATATTATTATCATTGATTTTTTTTTAATGAGAAAGTTCTATTGTATCATAGTAGTTAACACTGAAAATATTTGTATCATTGTTGTATAATCGTTACTCATAACGCATTTTATGTAGAACACAACTTAAATAAATTTCAAACATTAAAACATTAGGTAGCTAAAATAGTGAAAATATAATATACTTACAACTTTTTAACTTTTTTATTATTATAATTTATGAAAATAAATACATAAGTATGCAGATACTTTGAATAATTGTCTTAATTTAATTTGGTATAATATATTTTACATAATTTCTTTGAAATGATTGAGTTTTTTTTTCAAGTGAAACTAAAATGTTTTTCTTATTAATATACCCGTATGCTTTGTCTCTGCCTTACAAATGTACAAAGTAACAAAAACTGTTTTGAGCGGGATAGAACCACTCCCTTGGTATTTATAATAGAATTACCGAAATTCCACAAAGCATAGGGAACAACTTTATCTGTATCTTAGCTTTTTTATTTTTTTATAGCATTTACCAATAAATTTTAATAATTAAATGAAAAAAAAACAAAAATCCTAATGTTTTCAAACTGATAAATTAAATTAAATTTATGTTATCCAAATAGTAAAAACGCTACGACACACATAAAGTTGTTCCCTATGCTTTGTGGAATTTCGGTAACTAAAATAAATACCGAGAGAGTGATTCTATCCCTCGCAAAACAGTTTTTTTCTATGTTGTACATTTGTAAGACAGAGACTAGAGGGTATTAGTGTATCACGTCCTCTTACCACAGTATTATTATGTTTTATATAAGTTGTTTTAAATTTATTAAGATAGCATTATTAACTACTTACATTATAATACATTATTTTTGTTAAAAACACCTAAATATTGTACATGTAAAATGTTTTCCATTGATTGGTTTTCAGTAAATACTCATGGAACTTGGAAGTATGTTATGTAATATATTTAATACTAGACTATTAGAGTGAATTGTCATATTATTACATTTTCACGTAAAATATTACCTGGTGAATCTCATAGGTTTTTTTTATATTTTAATTTTAAAGCGAGTTATAATCATTTAAATATAAAAAATCCTTCGAGTCACTAGATAATAATCTTACTTGAAAATTTAATAATATGATAATTCACTCTAATATTACACATAACAGAATTAAATGGATTATTGAGAACATGGATTTTGCTTAGTTATGCGTTTGTGAAACAGAAACAACGCATGGGGATTGCGGGTGTAGTTTCCTCTCAGTAATAATATTAATTTAAAATCTTTTTCTTCTTCTTTAGCTTAACGGTTCAGTACTATCACAAAATCTCTCCATCTATCTCTTTGATAGCAAGCTGTATCTAAGATTGTGTTTTTATCTATAATTTCTGAATATTTTGTAACTACGTCAAGCCATTCATTGGGTCTTGGGTCATCACTGGACTACTTTTTTTATTTTTTTAGTTGATTATTGACTAAGTAAAGTTACCTTATCATCACTCTCCATGCATGACCAAACTATTCTTACTGTTTATTCGTAATAAACGAGGTTATGCCTGGCCAATTAGGTATATTATAAAAGACTTACTTATTTCATACGTCTGTATTTCCAAATGTTGTCCTTATAGTTCAATGTTATAGTATGGTTCATAAAACTTTTCGTCTATCGACCACGATTAGTCTTCTACTATTACCTTAATACTAATCGGTATAAATCTAATTTAGCACCCATTAATATTTTGAATTTTTTTTTTTGGAAACATGTAGTTGAATGTTTCAAGTATAATGGTACCAAGAAAAATTTCCAGAAACCATTAGTTAATGAGTTATGCACACAAAAGTATGCTATGGTCGTATTTTAGTAAAAATATAAATTTATATTTTTTTCTTCGGACAACTGTAACAATTTTTTTTTAAATCTAGTTTATTTAAACGTTATAACAATTATGGTACCTAACGTTCTTAAATTATGATAACATTCTTAAAAATATTGTGCCAACATTTTTTTTCGGAAATCATTAGCTCCTGAGTTATTTACAAATATATATGCATATATCGTATTTTCGTATTCCTTTGGAAATGTAAGTAGGTACTCTGCATTCTGCAGCGTTTCGAAAACATAATTGAGTCGAGAGTGAGTGACCACGATAGGTTTAGTCGGTTTAGATGTGCTTTTAACTCTCAGACCCAAGGTGGTTTTACATAACAAGTCGAGCCAGTCGAGGCCACTCAAGGGAAATTTACGATTTTAATTATCCAAGCAACTGCAGCGAGCGAGTGACCACTCTGGGTTTAGATGTACTGTTAGCAATTTTGTTTTAACTACTAGGCCTACCCAGCAGGGACGGCACTACACAATTTAATGTTTTAATCTAATCTAAAAATGCATTTTATATTGAGCATTTTATTAAATACTATAATAATCTATATCTATCTATACTACTATATAAAGTGAAGTCGCTTTTTTTTGTTCGGGATAAACTCTAAAACTGCTTATTCAATCGTCATACAGTTTTTTTTTAAATTAAAGAGGACATCACAGAGAAGGTTTTAGGCATACATTTAGTCCGATAAAGTTAATAAATAATTAGTTATTATTAATTAAAATAAACGTATAAATTGTATAAACATATATACAAGGTGTCCCACGAAGTTCTGACAAATGAAATAACTTGTATTCTATATAGTATTCTAATCAATATTTTTTATTTTTTTTTTTTTATATATATTCAATAGACTTGCACTATACGTATAAAATAAACTTTTTTATTTTTTTTATAGAAAATAAAAAAATTCAAAATAGCCAATTTATATACATATTGAAAAAAATTGATTTAACGTTTACAGTATTTAATTTGAGTAATTCGTTCTTGACTTATTTACGTTTAAATATTCGTTCAATTTACTGCTACTGGGAAATTTATTATACCCAACAGTAAAAACCAGAAGTCAAAATGGGGTTTTATCGACTCCGCCGTTTTAATATCAATTCCGCCGGCTATCGATTCCGCCGGATTTTTGTTTATATTGATTCCGCCGACCATCGATTCCGCCAGTTATTTATTTATGTTGATTCCGCCGACTGTTTATTAAACAATAACCATAGTATCATATTGTACAGAATTTTTTTTTTAATTAACAGCACAGGTTAGGGTACACTTAGTTTTCCATAATAGTATAAATTAAGTTTTATTTGAATAAAAACAATTCAAACATTGTCGTCCATAACGGATAATAATATATTATAAAATAATATAACTCATACCTATATCTAGTATATCTAGTTTTACAAAATGAAATAAGATCGTCATATTTTGAAATAATTAATTAATTATAATAATTCCGTATTACGGTAAGGTAAAAAAAAATTAAACAATACAAATATATACAAGTTGGTCATTTTTTTAAATAGGGGTTTGATGCTAGTTTTATATAAGTGAATCTATCAATTTTTTTATTCATATAATCGTCAAAAATGTTTGCTATATATTTTTTTTTTTTTTTGGTGATTTTTATGTTTGTATCTCATTCTGGCAGAGGTCTTATCATAAATTAAATACAATAGTTATATCACAGATATATAAAAATACATAGCTGTTGAATAAGCTAAAAGTTAATAATATGTATTTAAGATTTATGTAAGTAAGTTAAGTTATTAACATCATGAACTACCATACAACTTTAAAGTTTAAACTTATAGTTTATAATATTAATCATATTATGACAAATTGATAACAATAATAACTTTATCAGTGTTATGAAAATGTAAACATTCACCTCTTAGATAAGAGAATTTCAGCCATTTTGTTGGCTTCAAAAACATTTCCAAGTTTAGTTGTCTATCTAGTATTTTTATATAATATCTGTGCCGCCATCAAACCACAGAATAGATAATGTTGTTGTGGTATTTGCAGACCGTCCGTATATTATATTTACATAATATAGTATTGTTATAGAATTAATAAATTGATCAATCCATCTAGCCCATCTAAATAATAACTACTAATTACTATGTATGACATTTTTTTGTTCCGGTACCATCGAGATAAAGTATAAGTCTCGAATCTCGATTACCGGTACTCAGCACCACGCCAGCACGGTTATCTATTTGCACTTAACTACTTGACGACTCGCAAGTAGCAAATTTTCAGTGATTTCAACCCAAGTTCAACTGTCGTTTTAGAAGTACAAATCAAAATGGTTTTATTTTTAAACGTCATGTCATCAATTTTTAATCGCTAGCTTTTGGTTTTTAAGCATGTTCAATGTAATCTTTCTGGGCTATACATAAAATGAACATAATATTATATTAATTTAAAAATGAAAGATAAAAAACTGAAGGTAAATATCATCTTATTAATTATAATCAACATAAAACATATGTTACCTGTAGCTACCTGCCGTAGGGTCTTCGAAGCGATCTGGTGTTGTATCGATCCAAGGTATGGCGTCTTGCAGCTTACAGTAGATTGTCTATTGTGGTTCTGCAGTATGTTTTCAATGCGCTGATTCCAGATCACAAAGCTCAGGGAGTGTTCATATCGCCAGGCCTTGATGACAAAGATGATACCAGTATTGGCCGTACCGTAACTGATATCCTGGGTGGTTTTCTCCGTTGGGACGCTCAATACTTCCATCATATCTATCGATATGGCTATACGTATGAAAATACATTGGCTTTTTTCCCGCTATATCCCAATGTCTTACGGCTGTTAACTGCAATTTTTCCTGGTCATTCAAACACTATGTTTCTCGTTGCAGGAGTATTGCTCAACAATATCGTATTTGTTTTCACTGCATTGGTGTTATTCGATTTGACTTTACGCATACATAAAAACGCAGAAATGGCGTATAATTCAACAGTCCTGTTTTGTTTCAATCCTGCTAGTGTTTTCTTCTCAGCTCCCTATTCAGAATCACTGTTTGCTTTTACAACGTTTTATGGTATGTATCATAATGCATGTGAAAGTATTTGGGAGTCATCGTTATTTTTTGGTTTCTCTGTGTTGAACAGGTCCAACGGACTACTGAATGTTGGCTTTTTGTTATATACCATTGTTGAATCGGCCATCAAGAAAAGAAAAATATCAATCAAATGCCTTATTGGTGTATGTTTTGTTTTTGCATGTTTCTGTTTGTTCCAACTCTATGGATATTATAGATTCTGCACTCTGCAAGAACATACATTGGATCCCAAAGTTATCGACTATGCTATTACAAACAACCTAATAACACCAAACAACATTAGTGTACCAATGTGGTGCGGTAAGCGCTTACCGTACTCTTATGTTCAAGAAAAATATTGGAAAAATATGGGTTTCTTAAGTTATTTTAAATTCAAACAGATTCCTAATTTTCTATTGGCTTTACCTTGTGTTTTTCTACTGTTAAAGTTTGGTTTTGAATATTTTCGTAACAATAATATCATTTATTTGGGTCTTAGAAATCGAGATAAACCAGATTTTGTATATGTCGTCCATTCAACATTTCTAACCATTTTTTGTTTGTTTTGTATACACGTTCAAGTGACCACTAGAATGTTAGCGTCTTCTAGTCCAGTGTTTTATTGGGCTTGTGCGAATTATTACAAATTTCCACTAAATTTCAATAAAATTACATACAATCATATAACCCATGATTTTAAATCTAAATTTGTTACATTGTACTTTTTTACATATTTTATTGTTGGCACAGTGCTTTTTGTGAACTTTTTACCATTCACTTAGCAGACAAATGTTATCCGTTATTTTTAGGTATTATTTTTATGAAACGAATATATACGATATGTAACTAAAAAATGCAAACCAAAATTGATTAAAGTGCAAAAATATTTGTCATTTCATTTTATGTGTTCTATTTGCAAAAAACAAATGTTATTACTCGTGTTAATTATTATAGGTATATATTTTAATTGTTAAAACTCAAATTATATTATTTCACCATATTATACTAAAAATGTATTTTATATTCTGCATTGTTATTTGATTTGGGAATGTTTTTTTATTATATTTTTTTATTTGTTCAATAGATTGATACATATTCTATGATGAAACAATAAAGACTTAAATTAAGACTTAAATTAAGACAAATATTTAATAATATTTTGTATTAATTAAACTATTTATTGAATTCAGAATTCATAACTTCATAAAACTTTATGAGAGAATAGAGAAAGTTAATAATATTTGAAATAAAATAAGGTACAAAAACTGTTTGTGACTGTTAGATTATAATTTGTAATGTTCTCATTATATAATTTTTGTATAAAGTTGGTAGTTATTTTTTGAGCTAAAATAATATGATTCTAAATGTAAAAAATGTCACTCTGCTGTACAGTAGGTTACAAGTGGGTTGTTGTAATGGATGGTGTTAAATTTGAATTCAATGATATAATATCATTGTATAAGAAAAACAATACTGAGCGAAAACTATGATATTTCGAAGTATATTTGATGATATTAAGGTGAATAAAGTAATTTATATAATATAACCTATTTACATGGAATCTAGTTTTAAATTTTCAATCCTTAACTTATTAACTTTGTAACTTAACTATTTGAATTTAATGTGTAAAATAGTCTAATCTAACTAGTTAGAAAAAAAAACTAACTAGTTATTATTATTATTTTTTTCATTCCAAAATTCCAAAAGGTGTTCCTCAATCATGACATTATGGATATATGCCTATATAGATTATTGGCTCATATATATTATTAATCAGGGGCGATCCTAGAGCTTATTTTTAGAGGTGTTTGGATTGAATATTGCTTACTTTCAATGATAAATCTGCCATCTGCATACTTAATGTTAAAATAAATACATTTTCGTATAGTAATAATTAGGTATAGGGATCAAATAATTTTGAAATTGCGTATTTTTTTTTTCTATTTATTATTTTTTTATTTAACTTCTAACTTCTACTCTAACTTAAGTTACCATTTTCACCAAACTAAGTTAGAAATTTGGACAGTTTCAGAAACTAACTTATATTATAAAGTAGTTAATTTTTTTATTAAAGTAACATGACTTCAACTAGGTAGTTGAAAAAAATGATTAACTTGCCCAGCTTTGAGTCAGATTCACATCTGTCTATAATATTATTATAATGTAGTTGTATTTAAACAATAATCATAATATTATTATGTCAATAGCTGTGCTGTGATCACTGCTTTGAATGAAGTATTTAAAATAATTCTGGATCAACTTAACAGCAGTGGCTCACGTTATTCACCAAATCCGTGGTATTTTGTATTAATCACGATTATAAAGATCTTTGTACTTCAATTCTTTACAGTCGTGGTATTGTCATTGAACAAAATGCGTAATTTTAAAACATAATATACAGTTTATAATATTGAATTTTTTTATTGTACAGATTACAAAGCTTAAATTCGTAAACACGTACTATCATCTAAGTTAGTATATTATCATCTTGATAACGATCTTCGTTTGTGATAATACTTATCGTGGACTTAGAACGATCTTTTTCCAACGATAAGAAGCATATATTTTTAAATAGGTAATAAGAACTATGCACTTCCTGGCTACATTTTATGCGTAAAGTTACGTTGTTACGACTTCAAGAATCGAGTTCTAAACTACTAAGGTGTTGTATTAGTATAAAATTAATTTAAGCCAAATGACCGCTGGTCGTACAAATCGAATCATTATCATCTGTTAACACCAGTCAAACTACAAAATATTCTATTTCATACTTTCATAATGATATCTGCAAGATTTAATAAATTACTCAGAAATTGTAGTTCGCTGTACAAGAAAAATCAAATTCATCATGCTATGACAGAGGTATTATATTATGATAAATAAATATACAATACATTTAGGACGATTCACCAAGCATGCTAACCCTCTTATTTATCTTCAATAATGCAGTTATTTAAAATGTGATTTTTGGCATTTTTAAATAGGTAATATACTTGAAGACATGATTTTCAAATTCTTAAGATTTCTAAAGTGGTGTGCTGTAGAGGCAAACTTCAGTTTTTCAAATGAGAACCCACCTTTTCAACTGTAAATTATTCAGTGGATAATTTTACTGAAAAATTTGACAATCAAAATTTGTGCGTGTAGTTTTTGAGTTATTTAACTTTGATTTCTAAGGATAAAAAGCCCATGGTAATAGGTTTATTGGGGCCAAGCAATGTGCAAACAGTTTAGTCCTCTTGTATTAATGTCACAGGGCAAAAAATTGGTTTATAAGATATGGGGACTACAAGAGGGACTTCCCTATGGTGATTTGAAAATTTTAGTCATTAATATTTATCGATCAACAATTTGTAAAAATGGCCCAAGGTTAATAAATACTAGTTCCAATACTACATCTATTTTCTATTTTTGTTAACCATTTTTAAGGACTATTATCCTAAGTACAAACATTTTAATAACTAAGAAATTATTCATTTGAATTTTGAATTAAGTAAAACATTTTCAAAAAAATTACCCACCAAATAATTTACAGTAAAAAGGGCCGGGTTCTCGTTTAAAAAACAGAAGTTTGTATGGCCACAGGACACTCTTCAATAGGACAAAAAAATTTTATAATTTGAAAAAATCGTGAAAATTGTCTTTGAGTACTTGTATTAAAAAATTCCAAAAATCAGAATTTTAATAAATTCATTATTAAAGAAATGAATGTAAATAATGTGTAAAATATAAATACAATATAATATCATAAATATTTTATTTCAATTAACCAAATAATTTTCTTAATGTTTAAATTTGTTAATGATAATGCAACTGTGCCTACTAGATAATTCAAAATGTTGATTATTATTTATTATTAGTTAATAATTAATACACTATTGTGATTTTAGCACATTCAGTATTGAATTTATATGACATATTATTAGTTTTTTGTGATTTTTTTTACCTACAAATTACAATTAGGTATAAGCAATTGATATTAATTTATCAATATTTATAGACAATAGACTTATCCAATAACCAGTAAGTATCCCAATATTTAAACATTACAATTTCTTGAAATTTTTTATGCATATAAGCTTTGCATACAAATATTAAATTGTTTTTAAATTAGTTTTGTGAAAGACAGCATTCACACCTATAGCCTGAAAATTAAAATGATGTTTAATTGTAATTAATTGAACAAGTACCTACAATAATTTTAGCTTGTATAATGTCAAATCAATTGAATAGATAGTTTATTAAAAAAAAATTCTATTACTTATTGTATAAAGTTTAAATCACATTTTTATTTACAGAAGCAAACCAAAATCAAAATTAATAATATTGAAATTAATTATTTAAAAGTTGGAAATGGTCCACAGACCTTGTTGTTATTGCCAGGAGCATTAGGTACCTTGGCCATATTAAGTATTTTTGAGTTAATTTTCATAACTACAATAATATATTGAATAATATTAAACATTGTGCATATAAAAGGTACCTAATAAATATTATGAATGTTATTTAGGTTCAATATTTACTGATTTTAAGCCACAAATTGAAACTCTTAATCGTGAAAAATATACAATAGTTGCATGGGATCCACCAGGTTATGGTTTTAGTCGACCACCAGAAAGAGATTTTTCACCAGGATTTTTTTATCGTGACGCTGACTATGCAATTTCACTTATGAAAGTATTTACATTTTTCCACTTGCGTCCTTAATCTTTTTCTAATCTCAATGTTGGCCTTCTTAGTCATTGCAAATTGATAGATATTCGCTGCTGGGTTGGAGCGATGGTGGGATCACTGCACTTATAATGGCATCCAAAGCAGTTGAAAGCGTGGAAAAACTCATAGTTTGGGGTAGCAATGCATATGTTACTGAAAAAGATATTGAATTATACGAGAAAATACGAAATGTCCAAAAGTGGTCCCCACGCATGAGGCAACCGTTTATTGATTTGTATGGCGAAAAGTATTTTTCAGATACTTGGAATGCTTGGGTAAATTCATTTCAAATAATACTTAAAGAAAACGGAGGGGACATTTGTCGAGAAGCTCTGTCTAAAATCGATGCGCCTACTCTCATTTTACACGGTGCTCAAGACCCTTTAGTGCCTATGGAGCATCCAGTTCATTTACACAAAAAAATAAAATACGGATCGTAAGTTATTACATACCTACTTAATATTAGTTTTGATGAGAAAACTCCTTCATAATTATTATACTTGGAAAATATAGTAGCATAATAATATATTCAATTTAATAAAGGAGTACAACAAATAACAACATAGTGAATGATGAATTTATAAATATTATTGATTTTTAATGATTCTAAATTATCATAATAATAATATTAAAGGAATTTAACAAAATAAAAATGCATGTAATTTTAGAAATTAAACTTCCTATATCATATGTGTGATTATACATAAGTCTATTACCAAAAAAAGGTGGTTAAGTGGGTGTCGCTCTGTTGTACAGTAGGTTACAAGTAGATCAGTGTAATGGATTTGAATTCAATGATATAATAATATCATTGTATACGAAAACGATTCTGAGCAAAAACTGCCATTCAGCCTATGATATTTTTAAGTATTTTGGATGATAATATGGTGAGAATAAATAAATAAATAAATCTATTTATTTGGAACCTTGTTTTAAATTGTCAATCCTTAGCTATAAAAGTTGAACAATTTATACATTTTTTACTAAAAAATAATTTTTGATACATTTTGTCAAAATTCGTGCTTTAAATGATTATAAAAAAAAATTATGCCTACATTTTCCCTAATTTTAAACTGCTATAGTAACAATATTAGGACCTTTGTATTACATTTTTACGCTTTTTCACCCAACAAATAACCTTTTATTGACAATTATAGAAAAAAAATTTAAAAAATTTATAATGTCTGTAAACAGCTCAAAAAAAGTCAAAATATTTTGAAAATGTTATCAAGTATAGAAATTGATAAAATAAACACATGATGTAAATTTCAACTTTAAAGTATCTATAGACTATGTTTTTTTTGTTTTTGAATTACAACAAAATAAGAAAATCGCTATACATGAAAAATCTAGTGAATATTCAATATTCTAAAAATTTGAACTTTGAACGCTCATAAAAATTTAATTTGACATTCCGGTAGAAATTTTTTTAAGTAAAGGTAGACAAACTTTTGAGGAATCGTGTAATTAATTTTCAAATCATATTTAAAAAGAAAATATTTTATGAATTTCTAACCCAAAATAATTTGCACGTTTTCGTGAATTTTGCCTTTTGCTTATTTTGTCAAAATTCTAAATTTAAATGAATCTAAAAAAACATTGTGACTATGTATTTTGTACCATTGTAACAATATATTTGTAGTGTTGTCTTGTATTAACTTTTGAAGGTTTTTGACCCAACGAATAATTTTTAAATGTCCGTAAACCGCTCAATACATCACTTTTGTATAATTTTTTATACACGTATTATGTGTGGCCATGATATAATATATTGTTTCCATTCGTATGTTGCAGGCTTGAAATCTATCCGGAAGGTAAACACAACATCCATCTGAGGTACGCCGAACTGTTCAATTCGGCGGTAGACGATTTCCTGGCCGAAGACTTGTAGTGTAGATCAAGACTTGTCGAAATAATAATAAACTTAGTTTCAAAAAAAATAATAGTACCTATTAAAATCATAGCAGCGGGGGGGGGAGTTCTAAATCGTATAAGGAGGCAAAAAATAATATAATATGACCGAACCTGCAGCGGCGTGGGACGCGCGACTGAAATCCCTGCAGGAATTGACGTTGCGCGACAAGGCGTGGCGTTACCAGGGCGAGGGCAACGCCAACGTGGTTTTGTCGGTTCCCGCCGACGGGACAGTGGTGAGGGTGATGAAAGAGGGCGAGGGCGGCGGCGCTGAAACTACGGCGGCCGAAACACTGTCCTTGCGGTTGCGCTTTTGCGACGCTGTCAGGCGTACATTCTTCGACGGTGGTGGCTGCCACGTAGACGTGCCCGTACCGATGCGCGTGTCCGCTGAAGAGTTGCGCGAAATCGACCGGGTCATCCGGCCGCACAGGCCACCGGGCCGGCGGCACAAGGGCCTCGGGTTAGCCGGGTGTCTGGTGGCCGTGTGCCCGGACTACACGGTGCTACCACCGACGGACGTGCCGGGCGTCTGGTGCGTCGAGATCAAACCCAAACAGGGATGGGTGCACGAGGACGACGTCGCGGTGGGCGGGGTGCGGACAAAGTGCCCGTTCTGCGCGCACCAGTACCTGAAGCTGTGCCGGGGTGACGTCCAGAGGCCGAGCGGGTACTGTCCGCTGGACATGTTCTCGGGCCGCCGTGAACGGGTTCGGCAGGCCGTCCGCGCACTGCTCCGGGACCCGCAGAACAATCTAAAAATGTTTCTGGACGGCGACCCGCTCGCAGCCACGGACGACGGTTTCGGGGCCGCGGCGGGGGAGGCACGTGGCTCGATCCGGCGGTTTTGCGCGTTGGTCGCGGGCGCTCTGCTCGGTGACTTCGAAGGCTACCCAGACGGACGTGACGGTTCGGAGGACGACAGCGAGGAGGAGGAGGAGCACCATAGCGCCGCTTCGGGGGCTGTGCCGCCGGCGTCGTGCGACTTCGCGGGGGCGGTCCCGATGCCCCGGCACTGCGTCCTGCACGAGATCCTGACGATGCAACAGATGCAAACCTCCGGTTTCGCGGCCGTGTGTTCCGAGTACGACGGACGGCACCCACGCGACCCGCAGTTCGGCCACGTCGACCGCCTGCGGCTGAACGACGACGCCGCGGCCTGGACCTCGGTGGACGGATATCTGGTGGCCGCCACGGCGCGGGACTGTTCCGTGTACGTCACTTTCCGCGGGCGTCCCAGCAGTTCGTCGACCGCGGTACGCGTCAAGGTGTCCGACTTGGACCCGAAACCGTTGTCGACCGTTGACAAGCACAGGAATCGCGACGCAAACGTTTCGTTGGCCTGCCGACAATATTCGGTCGGGTAGTGGCATGTCGTGGCCGTAGATTTGGTTGGACGGAAGTGCAGGGCGTTGAAAGTTCGATTAAGACGTATTACTTCCTTTTCAATTACAACTAAATTATACCTACGCAGCAATTACAAATATATTTTACTCGTCGGTGTATAATACTATAATATATTGTTTATATTTAACGAACAAATTAAATAAATTCCAATATAGTCACGAAATAACGTTGTAGTTATTGGGATACGTATCGTTTTGGTTTTATATTTAATAAATTGTATAATGAAATATTTATTAGTTATTAACTTGTTACCTCGATAAAGTTCCGATTCCTATCATGATTTACTTCGGTTGGAAAGACCGGAAGACAATAGTCAATAACCATGAAATTCCGTTTACATTATTCCTGTCAAATAGAAAAGGGAATGGATAACTCCTACGAAAATGGGTGGATCTGGAACTCCTATATATAGAAATGAATATTATGCGCTGGCAGTGTTTATGGTGTTGTGCAAGTTTTTATTAAATGAAAAAAGTTTGGAAAAAAAATAATTCCATAGATATCCACGTACACTTTATCTAAACACAAACATATTTTAGATTCTGAGCGGTGCGATTAATTTTGTAGTGTGTTTTTCTCAATTTTTTTTTCTTTAGTTGGTTGAAGTAATATTTTGACTTTCGACTTTTAGGGTGATTTCTGATAGAAAATCGGAACCAATTGGTATTTTTTAGAGGATAAAATTGAAATTGAACAGAATTTTTAATAAAACAAAAGAATAAATCAAAGAAAAACTAGAATTTTTACGCAAAAGCTGTTTTGATAAAATCAATTAAATTTTTTTGATCTAACAGAAAAAAAAGAACTGTAGATACTTGAAATTTTCACTGAATGTTTATATTAGCATTTCCTATACACCATACGATTTTGAAAATATTTTGACTCTTTTTGAGCTGTTTACGGACATTTTCATTTTTCAATTTTTTTAGTTTTTTTTTCTATGAATATCAATAAAGTTTTATCTGTGTGCCAAAAAGTGTAAAAATGTAATACAAGGCTCCTGATATATTGTTACAATATCAGTTGAAAAATATTAAAAATACATAGGCACAATTTTTTTTTATAAGCATTTAAACATCGAAATTTGACAGAATTTTTCAAAATCTCGAAAATTATTAATCATCGTAATTAATAAATTATAAAATGTTCAGTTTTTATAGCTAAGGATTGAAAATTAAAAACAAGATTCCACATAAGTAGTTAATTCTCTTAAAGAAAAATCTAAAAAATATACAATCACAGTTTATTTTTATAGTCATTTTATGTTAAAAAAACGAAATTACATATTAAAAAACCTAGTTATTTTGTTGTGATAATATAATAATATTTGTGGGTACCTACTTGAAACTTCTAAAGTGTACTATTATATATCTATGATAGTATCAGGGTTTTTGTTGATGTATAACGCGTTATAAGTACCTAATGGATATTGTGATAATGTGATATGATTAATTTGGAATTTATTACAGGTCAATTTTTAATACCATAGATATGTATATAATTTGTCTTAAACCTAGACTGACATACCGTCTTCGCTCAGAATCGTTTTTCTTATACAATGATATTGTATCATTGAATTCAAATTTAATAGCATCCATTATACAGTGACCCACTTGTAATCTACTGTACAGCAGAGCGACATCCACTTACCCACCTTTTGTTATTTTATTGTTATTCAAAAACGAAAAACTGTAGGTAGATACATGAACATTTTACTGAATGAATATACTTTCATTTTCTATACACCATAAAATGTTGAAAATAATTTTACTCTTTTTGAAGTGTTTACGGACATAGTCAGTTTTCAATTTTTTTAGTTTTTTTTTCTATAAATATTAATAAAATTTTATTTGTTAGGTAAAAAAGCGTGAAAATCTAATGCAAGGCTCCTGATATACTGTTACAATAGCAGTTTAAAAATATTAAAAATACATAGGCGCAATTTTTTTTTATTAGCATTTAAAGTTCAAATTTTGACAAAATTTATCAAATTAAAAATTTAATAATTATTTTGTAGTTAAAAATTTATAAAATGTTCAACTTTTATAGCTAAGGATTGAAAAATTAAAACAAGGTTTCACGTAAATACGTAAATTACTTTATTCACAATAATATCATCAAATATACTAAGTAATATCATAGGCTGACTGACCGATCATTATTATCAAGTGACAGTGTTCGGAACGTTCACTAAAAAATGAATTCGTGCACGTTCAGTGCTTAAAAAAGGACTCGTTAGCGTTCAAACTCTTTTTTTTCAAATGAACACGTTCACGTCCTTTGAAAATATGAATAATTTCATATTTTCGTCGTTCATTTTAATTAATTTAATTTAATTTCTTATGTATCGTTTAAATGCGAATACAAAATCGCGGAATTCATAATATTATATTGTTGATTTATGTCCAGGCGTGCCCGTATACTGGAATTTCGTGTATTTTATTTTTATAATTTGAAATATATTATACATCATAATTCATAATAGTATAATTATTCATCAATATTTATTAAATAATAAATACATTTGAACGTCTTCAAAATCGTTCAAATTCATTATATATTACATAAACGTCGTTCACGTTCTATATGAAAAAACGTGTGACGTTCAAAAAATATGAAGGTGAACCACGTTCTTTCCAAACACTTTCAAGTGATATAATAAAATACGTAGGTATTTGGAGATATTTTTATTTAGAAAATGTGTCTTATTTTTTAAACAATTTGCTATTCTTGAACAGTTGCACCTAAAAATGAACATATTGTGATGAAATAAATAATGAAATTTATTGTTAACATTGTCCCACTTTCCAGGGCAAGTAAAAACGTTTTTAAGTTTAAACACAGTGTCAAAATACTGTTACCATTATCTGTTTCCTAGAATTTTTAGATAGTTTACATGTAAATGGTTTACATCCGCACAGTTATTAGTATATTAAAGCAATACAGTACTATCGCAATACTTTTGAGAAATTTAAATGTAGTGTCCAATCTAATGAATGCTACAAGATTTACTGTACCTACGAAATATGTACGGAGACTGGTGGAGACTCGTTTGCGCACATATTAATATATTTTTTAAATTTACAACTCGTTTGCGCACAAAATAGTAAACAATGAAAACCAGCTTTCAGGTACAGTTTTGGGTGTACAGAGTGTCTTAAGCTGCAAAGCACGTTCAATATTATTGATATCAATAATCACCCGTTAATAAATATTGAAGTACCTTCGATATAGCCTTATAACGTGATTTCACATCAGTTTTTATCTATCAAAAATGGCATTAATGCTCGCCAAGTACACGAGTCATTTTTAAACCCACCAGTCTATAACATCAGAATATGATGAGACAGAAAGTCCTAAGGCTTTTAAAGGGTGAAGGAAAATGTTGTTTGAGTATAATAATTGTCCACTATTAATGCTAACCAAATCGAAAATATGGAGGTACGCAGATTATGTACGTGGATACATTTCTTGGAGAAAAGGTTTCTATTGTTCGTAAATTGTGCGCAAATGAGTTGTAAAAAATGTAAATGTGCGCAAATGAGTTGTAGCCCGACCATTCTTTAGGCTTAGAATCCATAACTGGTCAGCGTATTTTATTGTGTAAAATTTATTTGACCCTGTCAGTTCCAACTTTTCCCTTTTCATTTACTAGACTTCAATTTTCGATAAAAATAGCTTTACAATAGACAAAGCACAGGGTAAGACATTGGATAAAGTAGGGTTGTACTTGCCCCGAACTGTATTTAGTCATGATCAACTTTATGTTGCCATGTCACAAAGTTGGATCTTTTGAAAAATTAAAAATACAAATAATACCAAACAACAAAAAAAGATTCAATGAATATTTAGTTTATAAAGAAATTCTATAATAATAACAAAATACGAATTCATTGAAATGTTTAATTTATGTTGATCAATTTTTTTGTTCAGGGTGAAATATTTGCAGTTTTCCCGTATGAAAATGTATTGAGTATGTTATTAAGACTTGAGAAATTAAATTACTTTCTATTTTAAGTGTTTCCTAAACATTAATGGCACATTATTAGAACGATTTATACATTTCGGATTCTGAGCGGAACGATGAATGTATTGATTTTGCAATACTGTTTTTTTTTCGCACTTTCATTTTTTTTTTTTGCGTTTGGGTAGGTAGGTACTTACAAGATAAGTAGTCGAAATAATGCTTTGATTTCAACTTCAGTATCTTGTTCGATGGGAAAGTGAATATTGTTAGGGCATGTTGGTCAACATTTTAAATTCCCAATAGTTTTCAAAAGTGCCGAGAAAAACAACATAAAAACGGAAATTTTTACGCAAAATCGATTTTGATTTTTATCGTACCTCTAAAACAAATGAATACATAGTACATACATGACATTTTCACTGGTCGTTTATATTTGCATTTACTATAAATATACGATAACATTTTCAAAATATTTTAATTTGTTTAGAACTGTTTTCTAACATTTTCTGTTTCCAATTTTATTAGTCTTTTTTTCTACGAATGTTAATAAAACTTTATTTGTTGGGTAAAAAAGCTTGAAAATGTAATGCAAGGCTCTTACTATATTATTATTTATTACAATGAAATTTGAAAAAATATTAAAAAACCTTAGTTATAGTTTTTATTTATAAATTATAAGTATTTAAAGTTCTAATCTAGACAAAATACGGAAAAATCACGAAAATTAGCAAATTATTTTGAGTTGAGAATTCATACAATTTTTTTTTTTAAATCTAAGATTTAAAAATGTAATACAAGATTCCTAATAAATTTGTCTACCTTTATCAAAAAAAAAAATGTCTACAAGCAAATCAAATAAAATTTTCATGAGCGTTTGAAATTCATATTTTTACAACATTGGATATTCACTCGATTTCTCATGTAGAGGCTTAGTAATTTTATTGTTATTCAAAAAACTAATAACTGTAGATACCTGAACATTTTACTGAATGT